TATTCTAATTTGTTGAGATAGTGAATTGGTGGGTTTTTGTTAAATGTGAGCCAAAATCATCACAATTAAAAGAACCAAAGACTTAAACTACTTCAGTCTGTGTGCACTGAATTTATTTAATACACGAGTTTCACAATTTGAGTTGAATTACTGAAATAAATGAACTTTTCCACGACATTCTAATTTACTGAGATGCACCTGTATATATATATATATAATAGTGCTGTCAAACGATTAATCGCATCCAAAATAAAAGTTTTTGTTTACATTATATATGTGTGTGTTCTGTGTATATTTATTATGTATATATAAATACACACACATACATTTATATTTTGAAAATATTTACATGTATAAATTTATATTCATATAATTTATATTATATATAAATATATTTAATCTATAAACATAACATAGTTTTCTTAAATATATACATGCATGTGTTTGTATTTATATACAGTATACATAATAAATATACACAGTATACACACCGATATCATGTAAACAAAAACTTTTATTTTGGATGCGATTAATCACGATTAATCGTTTGACAGCACTAATTTAATATCATCTCATTTTCCAACTAACCTCAAATGATTTGTTCGAAGCAGTTCTAAGATTCAGTCTCTCTAAACCCCTCCTTTCTGTGACCCTAATTTGCTCTGTTATGATTGGTCAACCACGTACAGGGCGTGTCGGAAACAATATGCCCATTTCCACAGGTCTGTATTTTAAACGCTCGATAGAAAATATAAGCATCTATTATTTATCAAAGCTACAGTGTTTGAGGACGGGTCAAGTTGTTTGCGGCTGGCCAACATAGAACATAGGCAGGGATTATGCAAATGTGTTATTTGGGATGCAAATTACTGACGACTCGTTCAGGCTGTTCGGAGTAGATTCTTTCTTTTGGAAGACAACTTTATTCATCATGCACTTTACAACTTTGCAGATCGTTAACATTCACATACAGCTACATTACACACTGCACGAAAGGCAATATTCGAAATGGAATAATAGGGGCACTTTAATAAGAACTGACATGAATATTTATCTTCTAAAATTAAAATATATAATTTCAATATGCAAGTAAAAATACTTTTTTCATGTGTTTTACGCAGCTTCTGATAAAATGCAAAATTCATGTTCATCCCTCATTTTCTGTTCAACCCTATTATGCAGACATTTCTTCCTTTAAAATTAACCGTTTGACCTTCTGACTTCATATTTAAATTCTAACAAACAACTACTGATATTTTGCAAGGCTGTCAACCACATATTTATGAGTGGACGGGTTGCAGTATCTGCCACTGAGAAACCAATATCCGCTGACCGCTAATCTGAATATTGGTCTGGAGGCATCTCTGGTAGTAATGGCCCTGAGGTGGCAAAATATGAGTGCTAGAAAGTTTAGCAGTGACATTTTCAAACTTTTAAATGTTAGAATGATAATAAAAAATAAAAAAACGTCAAAATGTTCAGCCACAAATGGCAGAGTTTCCTAAGAATGACTCACATATAGACCTCTGTGGCTTTCTATGTACAGGTATATACAATTTTCTGGAAGGCTCACTGTCTGAAAAACATAGAGACTCTGTCTCTATCTCTCTCTGTGCTACAGTTTGTAAAGGTTGGTACAAGAAATCAAACTTGCAGGGTGACTTACTTTATCACCTTTGAGACCAGGTAGGCCTTGAGGTCCAGGATCTCCTTTCAAACCCTGAGGAGACACAAAGAACAGGAGCCAGTTTAATCACAGGGTTGGTCTCCTCACAGCATCCTGACAGAACAACTTAGGCGAAAATCTTTCCAGTCAGCAGACAATGTATCAGTTTGATGTCCCCCAAGTTAGGAATTCAGCAGGGAGCCGCTCCAGCCATCTTTTAGTAAAAGTCATGTCGGTGAAGCGCAGCGGCTTATCTCACTGATGACAAGAATAAGTGTCTCAAGGTGTTGAGATGGCCTCATTTAAATGACAAATCGGTTTTCTCACTTCTGTGCTTTTTAGAGAATGATTTGCACAAATAGCACACCCTAAATACATACACAAAACCACACACTCTCTTTCTCAAGCCTTCCGGCTGGAGCCAGGATTAGAATCCAATCACCTGCCTGCCAGGGCTTTGTGAGAGGGAATCTGATTGGAGATAAGGCAAAACCACAGGCAACGTCAAAACTCCTAGTGCTGAAAAGCAAAAGAGAGAGGACAAGGTGAATGAGGGAAAACCGGCCGAGAAGAGGTGGCTGATAAATGAGGCCTGACACGTATCGACAGGCTGCATTTACAGCGGCTCTTGTTAGGTGTGACACATCAAGACCTGCAGCTACACAGAGAGAAATCTCTGAAATAAGTCAGAGGGTACTTAGAGAGACGGGAACGCTGGCCCTCAAAATACAGCAATTTGTCTTAGTTAAGCTTTCGAGTGAGACTATTAATACTGAATTATATTAGGGCCAGATGAGCGCCTCGCCCTTTTTTTTAATCATGTTTCCAAGAGATGAGACTAATTTACTCTTATGATGACGGAGCTTGTCAAGACAGTTGAGTGAAAGCTCAGTTAAGAGAGCGCTAGTCTGGAGACCTTCTCCATAAAACAAGATCAATACAAATAAGATGTGCAAATCTGGCAAACCTCCTTTTGCATCAGCTGTCTTACTATGAGACTCTTTCTGTGAGGATGATGATTGTGAGGCTTTACAATAAGATTTGAATATTCTGTTTGAATCAAATTTTAGATATGTGATTTTAGCACTTCTCATTCTCTTGCACATTCTCTTGAAAAATAGCCAATGAAATTGCAAGAGAGCACTGTTGCTTGCTTACTAATTGGGACCATGCACACACCTGCCGATTGGTCAGGCAGATGTCAATGAAAATCAAATAAAATAAAAAATACAAATAAAAACAAATATAATAAATAAATAAAAATACAAATAAGAAAATAAGAATAATAATACAAAATAACATTAAAATTCAATTAAAAAAATATAAAATATGAAAGAATAGAAATAATAAAAATATAAAATACATAATAAATAATAAAAAATAAAATAAAAACATATTTATACATGTATACATACTGTATATATATATATATATATATATATATGAATATGGAAAATAAAAGATACACACACACATATAAATCCTACTCTCTTCTACATTGTTTTCAATAAAGGTAAAAACACTAACTTTTTTTATAAAAATAAGAATAAAAAATAAATAAAATCTTTAACAAATTGCAATACATAATTTTAAATATAATTAAAATAAAATACATAAAGTACAAATTAAAATAAAAAATGCAAAATAGCTATTTTTAAGGTAACTTGCCTCCATTCACATGCAACTCTTAAAGGGGATAACGGATGAAATGTTTCACTTTTTTAGCTTTTTTGCATTTAGTTAGGTTTCTGGCATGTCCGCCAGCTCAGAAAAGCTGAAAAGAAAACATGCAGCCAGTTTGTTATGGGCTTTTGGAGTCTGAAACTGTTTGAATCAGTTTACAGCTGGTTTCTACGTAGATAGCTAGCTATTTGAGCCATATACGGAGTCAAAGGCAGCAATGCACATGTCTTGTGTTGACACACCCCACAGAAGAGAGGGGTGGGGTAAGCAGTAGCTCATTGTCATTTAAAGACACATGCACTGAAACGGGTCACTGTGAACAGAGCTGTTTTTGACAAGGTAAAAAGGGTGTTATTTTACACGACCATTGAGGAATTGTAACCAAAATATCTTACAGACATTTCATGAAGACCCCAAAAGAATCATACCAAATTGAGGAAAATGGGCATCCAGTGTCCCCTTCAAGTGACAATGTTGTACCCCACAATCTGAAGCATTTATCGTTGGATAATGCATAAAGAAAATAGGCCATATGCAGTGTATACCGTACAGTGTTCAGTAAGTTAGTGTTCCATTCTCAATATATCCTCAATCCAGCAAGAGATAAACTTTGGCTGAGGCTATCAAAGGTAAATGTAAGAAAGAATCTGCACTTGAACTTGATCAGGATTGCAGTACTGTGAAGCTCGCATTGGGACGGCATGATGGAGGTTAGACCTCGGCTGCTCTTAAATTATGTATGTTCAGAGGGGTTTTTGGAGAGAGCACTCCTGTCCTGCTTTCAGCACAATCTAATGACTCCTTGAGGGAACCAGTGCACCTTTCCTTTGTTGTCCCACATCCCCGAGAGCAGCCCCAGTTAAGAACAGCTGCATTTGCCCTTTTCAGAGGGACTTGATTTGAGCTCTAGGCCTACAGGCTGTTCCGACCTCGGGAATGAGGATGGAGAGACTGACTACATAGTTAGCCTCTGCTCGCCCTGGGCATTTCAGCACAAGCGGGGAGGTGAAGGATGGGTTAAAATCAGGGCTGTGTCCCTCTCTCTGTCTCGTCACGCCAGTGTGAGGTCAAAATGCCGCAGGGATTTCTGCTCACTTGCCTGATAATTATGTACTGCACAGCGCGTCCTGGCTGCAGAACAGGCCAGGTCACAATACAATCTGGCATCTTCCCAATACAGAGGCACACACGCACACGCACACGCACACGCACACACACACAAAGCAGTCCCAAGAAGTGTTTGGACACTGTAGCAGCACTTAATATATGAATATCATCACATCAGATTAAAATTTTAAAGAAATATAGCACAATTAAAACATTTCACAAAAAGATTTTCATATGGACGCATGGTTCTACCACGTAATAAAAATAAATAAATAACTAAATAAAAATTAAAAATTAAATGGTGACTATTTATTATTTCAAATTCTCACATGTATTTCTTACATTTGTTTATTATTATTTTAATTTAAAATAAAATAACATTGCCACCAATTGGTTAAAATAAAAAAGGCTTCCACAGGCTTCAAATTATAAAAGAAAATAAACACCTCTCTCCCCAGTCTGGCATGAACGGCTCAAATAGTTCCTGTATCAAATGAAGGCCCGCCTTTTGAAATACGAAATGTGCTGTGATTGGTTAGCTGGGCCAGTGTGTGTTGTGATTGGCAGCACTATGCACCTGGACGGGAAATATCATGCCCCTTACCATAGCCGCCTGCAAGCTTCAGTGTAAATATTGCGTCAAAATCAAATCAATTTGATTGCGATTTAAACCCGGATGATTGTAACCACTCTAAGTTCATCTGCCTTGGGAAAGCTAGTGTGTCTCCGACATAGTGATAACACTTGTTGCCTTCTCTAGTGCAGCTCAACCAGGTCTCGTCCCATTCGTCGATATTTGTGATCTCACAACTCCCGGAAAATATGCGTTGTAGTCCAAACGAGTCGTTCGTTGTAGTTTTTGAAAAGTGATTTCTGTTAAATAAAATATCTCCTTTTGAATTGGACTTTGAGCTTTGTAACTTTGCAGATTTTTTTATGCTCAAACAGCAACATTACAGACTAACTAAAGTTGAAAAAGAGAAAAAGCATAATAGCACCCCTTTAAGTGTCCAAAAGTGTGCAAATCTGGCTAATGTCAGAGATAAACACTCACCAACATAATAGACATCCTACAACACCTCAAATAAACATTTCATGTGCAGCAACAGACTTCCACAGCATCTTTTCAGCTTTTGTTAGAGATACAATTTTAATTCAAATGAACACAGCTCATCTCAGAGGCATGCATGTTTTAAGCAGAGAGAACTGTTGATATGCTGAATGGCAGGCCTTCAAAGACCTCTGGAACAAGATCCAGTGGAGTAACAGAGATATCTCAAGTGCTGGCCACAAATGCCAAGGGGGTTACGCCAGGAAATGCTTTTTGTGAGTTTCCATTTGCTCAGCGATTCATTGCTACAAACGTTTGAAGTAGTAGAGCTCAGGTACTCGGATACTATCTGAATCAAACTTTCACTTAGGAAAGCATGCTGGGCTTCTTCACCACTGCCACTGGAACCTGTCTATCATAAAAATCACTGAACTCTACATTTCAAATAAACATTTTAAACAAGTACGTCATATGAAAAATGCTTTTTTTTTCTGTAATCAAGTATCGAAAAACAAATTTGCTCCTTTAATAGAACAGGACATCTAAATTAACACTACACGTAACCTGTCATATTCTGAAGGATAGTGTAACTAACATGCCATGTTATGCTCTGAGCGTCTCAACAGACAAGCGATACATGGCTTCATGCACATTCCATTCTGAACGCTCTCATGTAACCCCTGTGGGCCTCAGATATCAGGTATTGACTTTAAAAGACTTAAATTAGTCAGCCATTAGAAAGTATTGACTCAGGGTGGTGACTCTGAATAATGCCATTTGTCTTTAAGGTACAGTAGATTCATCAAATTTCTTACATCTTTCCCAGGTGTTCCCGCAGGAACGGGCTCTCCAGCTGCTGCCTTTTCACCCTTACAATCAGAATAATGATACACAACATCACAACACACACTGAAACGACAGCTCCATGGCAAAAGAAGTGACGTTTAGCAGAGTTGTGGCTTGCAGTCTGAATGGAGTGTGATGAGACACAAAGACTGGGTGACACAAAATACCAAGACAATAAACAGACAATTCATGAGATTAATAGAAGAATCAGACCAATATTTCATGTGCAGTGCCTTCACCAATTGCAGACAACAACAAACATCCTGCGAAACTAGTGTAGTTTGATTCATTTTATTTAGCTGACAAACATAAAAAACCCCTAAAGGTTTAAGACATAAAAATGCATGTAAATTATTGAAAAGGTACA